AAATGTCTTGAAACAATAAATATGGATAAAGGATACCCAAATATAAATTCTTAGACAGACAGACATATTATTTTTCATATTACAACAATTCTGACGATTAAAATATACATCAAAGATTGATTGATTAATTGAATGTATGTTGTTCCATTCGAAAATTCTTTACTCATATAGAGACGTACCTATATGCCGGTGAAGGACTTCAAATTTAGACCTATACTCGGAACTAAGGGTCATTGGGCAGTGAGGGTTCTTTATCGTGTCAACGTCTACCGTGACACGGGACCTCGGTTTTTAAGGCGTCATCCTTCTAGTGCCGGTCGCTTCACGAAGGAACAATCACTACCTATGTTTCCGTCTTAGATTTGACGCGAACGAGAATCGAAGAGAACGTCCTTCCACTATGCTACCGTGACCAGTTGAATACATAATCACATATCCACAACAAGGCTTCCAATAATAATTTTAAAGATCCCTCATCTCCGAAAAAAGTGGTGATCGAAATTGTCTAGGTCTAGCACGCCTTTCTTTGCATGGTCGTAATTTCAAAAACATAAAAACTCACTCATAAAAAAGAAGAGTGTAATTAAATAATTCCCCCTGAGGCCAACTTTAAAAAAAATTGTTTGTCGACCGACTGGCTAAATATGGTTCGACTGAAATCTTCTTTTAAACCCCAGAAACAATAATGTTTTCATGCATTCCGGAAATACGATTTTGAAAATTTCGTTCTGATGTTGACTTTTTTGGAAAAAAAACTTTCACACATACCTTCCTTCCCTATTGTTTCATCCTGAGTCGGGAGAGGGCAAAAACATCATTTTAAAGTTGGCCTTGATCTTGGAAGGCTCAAATTATTTTATTTTAGAAACACAAAAAAATTTTCTATCCGAAAAAATTACAGTTTTAGAAGTTTTTATTTACTACTAACAATAAAAAATTATTACAGAGGATTCTGTAAATTGCCTGCGTCGACGAAAGTATTTTCCTCATTATAACTAAAAATATTCATTTTTTTCTATTTACTTACTAGGGTAGACGAAGTAAGTTAAACTTATGCGATCTTCTAAGAATATATTTATATGCATCTGCCGCCAAATCATTTTATTAAAATTCTTATAATCCTCAGCAAAAATTTTATGCAAAGATTATTTTTGCAGCTCACAATGTAAAGACCCTTCCATAAATTTTAAAACAGAAACAGTTGCCAAAATAGTTCAAGAAAGAGGATCTTTCCCCAATGTTTGGATAAAAAATAAAAATTTATGAATAAAATCATGATGATGATGATATGATTTCACATTATTCGGTTGACCTGATTATTGCTCTTGATAATCATTCTTTATATGCATAATTGAACCAAATATATCATAGTATAAGACTCAGAATTTTAAACATATTTTTTGCGTAATTTTTCTGTTTAAGAAACAAAAATGAAAAACTCATTCATGCTTAATATAGAGATGCTTCTGGTTAAGTCTACTTTGAAGGCTGCGATGAAATTATTATGATTATTCTTGTGTGTTGAAATTACTAATTTTTCTTTCTTTATATTAATGATTTTTCTTTTGCATTACTCGTTGCAAAAGACGTAAGTTTACTTAGTACACTGTAAAGAAAACCGTGAAGATGACGAACAGGGATCGATCTAAAAAAAATCAACAAACAATACAAATCTGTGAACAGGGCATAAAACACGGGGCCCCGGAAATTCCGGAGGCGGGATCAGGTGCCTAAGTAGAGTAAACATCCCCTGTTGACCAATCACAATGAACGATATAATCTATATATAATTTTAAATATTGTAAACATAGAAATGGCAAGGAACATTTAAACCAAAATGATTATTGGTGCTCGAAAACATTTAATGTTAAAAATTCATTCATATCAGAGTGTAATTATTATTATTACTTCATACAATTAATACTGTAAAATAACATATTTATATATTATTACTTTATACAATTAATACTGTAAAATCCCATATTGGTATATTATTACTTTATACAATTAATACTGTAAAATCCCATATTCGTATATCATTACTTCATACAATTAATACTGTAAAATCACATATTTCCATGGGGTTAAATTTTTGTGGTGTATAATAAAATTGATTCATGAGGATTTGAATTTGTTGCGTTGGAGAAGAATCAAGATACTGTAGTTTAAAATTTAATATTCTTATAGATCTCTTACGAGGAAATCAACAAAAACTAACCCACAACGAAACTTAAAAATTTCATAGTTTATTACTTCATTTAGGTGATATGGTCATATATACATCTGAGAACTTTGAAGACTATTGAAATATTTGTTTATGCTATTAAAAAGGAAAAAAAGGTTTGGAAAAATTTATTTTAATGTCGACATATGTATAGACATATTATGTTCTACAGGATAATGTTGATGAGCAAAGTTTTTATGAATTTTCATTGTAGAGAGACCTTAGATTGCAGCAGGTGTCACCCTTCCGACCAGTATAGGTGAAACTTGATGAAAAAACCCCAAGGTTTCGTGTCTCATGAAATTTGTTTTTAAATTATATAGTTACTGGACTTTTTTTAGTAACTGGTGTTCTGCAGATGCTTATGGAATGTTTTGATCCTTCATTGTCATTTCTTTCCCATCACATACCGTAAACCATACCAGATAATACTGAATCTCCTTTCGTAACATTCAAACCCCCATGGCAATTTGTTTTGAATCCAAAAGGCTTCCATTACATGACATGTAATAGAATTGCATAATGCCAAAATGTTTCTTTAAGATACACAGTGGGAAATAGATAATTTATTCAATGTACCTCGGATTTTATATGAAATTTATTTTAGATATTACGAGGTAAATTCGACTTTTTAACTGTTTATTTTTTCTTTGGCACATAATTGTTGGTGTTAAAATCAGTGAATATGTGTTCAGCGTACAAATGTATATAAATACCTCTTAAAGTGATCCTGTACTTACTCTTGGTATTTTTTTTTTTTTTTTGTTGAAAAATTGGTTTTTACTTAAGATGTATTGATATTCGTCCAAGAGTACATTTGTAAGAAAATGTTCATTAAGTGCTATTTTTTTTTTTACACAACTTTAAGCAATAAAAATATAATTTGGTAGGTTCATAAGCTAGTTGTGTTTGCATACTAATTTCGACCGTTCGAGCACTGCTTTCTGTCGAACTTCATGACTTCTTAACCTTTTCAATGACTAACGGTCAATCAGATTGATCAGAGCATCAAAACACGAGATCTACTATTTCTTACAAACATCGTATAGACTTAATGAAATTTCTGAAAATTTGCCAGCGATCAGCATCTAAGCCACCCTTGTCGAGAGAATGCACGCGCCAAAATCTACGCTATCTTAAAGAGATTAATGAACGATCTTCATACATTTGTCTCGGGATATTTCATGTTTTCCCACTTGGAACAACCTAAACAAACTTTGAAACTAATAAATAGTACATTTTCTACACGTTGATCACCACATATATTCAGAATATATTAAAATATAACAATTACTTCTCTCTGATTTTCAATTTTTGTATCAATGTTAAACAGAAGTTTTAATCAACTTTACCAAAGCAAAATCATATTTTTGTTAATTGCTTAAGGATAATATTAATATCAAATGGTTTTCTATTTCCAATGCATTCTTATTTATTATGCTTAAGACATAAGAAAACATAAAAGACATGCGACAAAGTAAATAAAGAGAATTCTACCAAAATAATATTGCTTGTGTAACTTTTAGATCATATTATCTCTTCATACTATTTTCTACGAAAAAGGGAGCTTGAATATAATCTCAAGGAGCAGTGTACTCAAATAACACAAAAACCTCTCTGAATAATCTATAAAGTGCAAATCTCTGCTGTCTGGGAGTGTAAAAGTCTAAATAGCTTAGATAAAGATGAAAACATTCGATCTTATTTACGTCTCAGACACAACAAACCTAAAATAAAAAAATAAAAGTAGAGATTATTCCTTTCTTTCTCGCAATTTCAAGAGAAAATAGTGAGGGTTTACTAACCTTCCTGCGTCAGACACATTACGTTTGTGTGTGCTGCTTTTAACAATGAAATGGACTGTTAATTACTGTCGACTTCAGTTGTCCACTGTCTGCTGAACTTTTGATTCCAGGCTTTTAATTAAAAACAAAATTAAACGGTGCTATCAAAAAAAAAAAATTATATAATTTTTAATAAATTGTAGCATAAAACTTATGACAAACATTTTTGATCTGTTAAAATCAAAATCTCAAAGTAATGAAATGAAATTTAAAAAATATGACTAAGTGATGAGAATTGTTTACAAACATCAATAACTTTTACGCAGAAAACACTGAAGAGAATATATATATATATATATAAGACGTATATGTATTTGCACTAAAATTCTCTGTTCCCCAGATTAAACCTTTTATACAGATTAAACAGACTGCTGTTATGATATAAAAACAAACGAAAAAGAATGACAGATCTTGTCAAACTTTAGCCATTCTTCAGATCTTAGTTGGGTCTTGGGTTAGAGCCTGGGAGATAAATATTGTAGATAGTGCAACTATTTAATTCACTCATGTTAGTAACATACAATGTTTGAATATATTTAGAAATTAAGGTTTCCTTTTATTTGAATTTTTAAAAATTTATTTGTATTTTATACATGTATCTTGAAAGATTTTTCAGTTTTTCTACAATGCTTTAATTTACATCTGATATTTATGAAGAAGTACGACAAAATTAAATATTATTTTTAAAAACAAATTAAAACTAAGAAAATTTCTCCTCCTTTTATTCTATTAAAACTATTTCGAAGGTATTCAAACCAAAAGGATGATGCAACAAAAATGATGCAACAATTTTTCTTAGCAGCAATCCGAAGAAAAGAAAAGCTCGTCAATTTCCATACTGCACCACTTTTTGCTCTAATTCAGGAGTACACAATGCAATATACAGCAATTTCCTAATTCACCTGCACCGTCCGCCCTCATCATCACCCGCCAAGGTCAAATCCTATATATTACTGTTATTTCCCTACCACACGCCAGACAGACCACTACTCTATTGACTAATTCCAATGAAGCACTGAATAGGGCGGGACGTTTTCATAAGTTTCTGACCTTTAACCTTTAATTCGCACGTGTGGTGGGATATAGAGGCGGTAATTACAACGCTTATTCATTTGATACTTGAGCAACTGTATTGAAAACAGTGTGAGGAAAAATCATAGCGGTTATTTGTTGAATTTTGCACCACTCATTGACATTTGAGTTAAAGAAAAGACTTGGCAGTGAAACCAGCGATATTCAGAAATCTTTTTGACATATATTTCTACTTTTATACATCAGAGGAGACTTACGTTATTTCTGAGTAAACATTTCATTCCTTTATGATGCGGTGTCCTCCTCTTTGTAAGTTATTGGTGGTTGTGATATTTTATTGTGTGACCCTGCATCGGTTCGTGTCTGGGAATACAACTGAGGAGCCAACGGACCCAGAAACTCCTACAATGTTCACCAGAGAACACATATCTAGAATGCATCAAAGGTACTTCATGTGCGTGTCGTTTTCTTCCATTTATTTTCCTTTTTAAAAAAAAAAAAAAAAAAAAGATATGACGAAAAGGTACTCATAGTCAATAACAATTGAAAGATATATTTTTGAATATTCTAAGATATGACCAAATTATTTAAAGTTTTTATTTTTTATTTTTGAATGTCTTGCTGGCAAAAGTCGGCAAACAATTGTTATAGAGCTCCATATATAATATTAATTGTGTATATTAATCCAAATACTCTAAAATCGTTATTGATCTCTGAATAAAATTCAAGTCTATTGTTAATGACTTATGAGTATTAGAAAGCGATATCTTTTGGATTCCAAATCAAATACTCATAACATGTATTTTACAAAAAGATGTTTTTGTTACATGTAATACTGAACGTTAACTTTATTTGATTTTATCTATTGATTAAGAAATCATAAAAAAAATAATGAGATGTCAAAGTTTTTAAAATACAATTTTTCAATTGAAATTCTTTTCTTTTTACTTAATCTACAAAAGATATCGATCATATCTTGATTATGCATGCTTTAAAATTCTATTCTATCTCTTAAAGTTTAATATTGTTTACTTAATTTTTTAATCGATTTATCTATAAAATCTATCTATAAATTCTGTTTATTTTGTTATGAAAGATTTTTCTCAAGATATACAGTATGAAAGTTTATCTTTCTTTTCTATCTATTTTCATGATTTCTGTTTATGTATATACATATTACCTTAACTTAACATGAAATGTGTGCTGTGGTCTCAAATAAAAGGTTCTTTATACTTTCCTCTTAACCTATCATTCACATGCCTATCTTTTAACAATGACGACGACTATTCTTGAATTATGATACTGTGTATATTTTACTCTTTGAAATCGTTATACAATGTAAAAAGGTTAAGATTACGATCAGTAATACTGAATGCATGCAAGATTACACTTGTCTACATTCGAAGATTTTTCCTCAACTTATAGTTTTTTATATAAAAAAAAAATTCAAGCAAAACTTAGTTTAAGTGCGGGTAGTCGCAATAACGAAAACAATAACACAGAGAAAGGAATGAGATATCTAAATGTTGGACAAATATCTCTATTTGCCTGACAACTCAACATGGGTATGGTAATACCCACCACAAACATCCAGATAATTTTGACATAGACCTGTCATTTTGCAAATTTTAAAATGACATATGGTTCCCTGTCTGAATGTTGACCTAGATAATGATGTATAATGTAAAAAAAAAAGTGCAATATGTACTATTTTTAGGCAGACTTTGCAAATATATGGAAATACAACTGTACTCCAACAAAATGTCTAAAAATATTTACAAAATAATACTGTCTGTAGCATATGAATGAAATATTAAATTTTGAGTGCACTTTCTGCATACCTCATAATTGATATTTTCCTTAAATATGTTCCCTGGGGTATTTCTCTTTCACAAAATTTATTTTTATACATGAATATCATTCTTTAAATTTCCCACTATAATAACCACTTCTTTTGTTCTTGGTGTTGTAATTGTAATCATCATAATATATAGACAAGCTCATACTATTCTCATAGATACTTATAATATTTAAAACTAGAATTAAAAAGAAAAAAAAGGAATTTCCTAAAAACTAAAATAAGTAATTGTAAGTAAAAAATAAGTGCAATAACCCCTAGAAAGCATAAGAAGACACGGCCTCGTTTTCATGTTACAGATCACGTGCTTACAGGAGACAGGAAATCAGAGCCAAGGTATTGGAGTTCCTTGGTTGGACGTCAATTCCTCAAATCAACCCCCGAGACAGAGCGATCATCAACAGCACTCTGGCTAATATTTCTTCCATTAGGATCACCGAACGACAGTGCTTTTCCGCATCCTGTAAGTATAATTACTTAAAATATTCTAAAAATAAATGCTAATAGTTAAAGGGTTAAACTATTAATAATTGAGGATATTTTTGTAATTTTGTATGTTCATAAATCTTTTATCTTATTAAATTCTTTCTCAAACTTTGAAAAAGAACCTAATGTTTTTAGTTAGTTTTTGATACCCCGACTTTTGATTTACTATCATTTGAAACCTCCATTGGTTTGTTTTTATAGTAGAAATTTAGTACTGATGCATAATCTGTCAGGTAATGTTTCAGGTGACTTACCTAATAGAATAGACGAAACCCTGTGGAACGATTCGACTTCTGGAAGTCTTCGGCTAATGTTTGATGTGCTTCCCTCTGATAGTTGGACAAATGCAGAAATTGTAAATGCAACTTTAATGTTACATTTAAAAGAAAGACCCTGTAAGTATATTTATTTTTATCTACATCAAGTCAACTGAGAATCTCTCTTTTGTTTGTTATCTTTTAATACAGTAAAACACGATGTTAACAAATTATGAGGGACGGCCTAGATAAACGTGATGACTTCAACTTTTATATCGCCAACTTCCCTTATTTATGTAGCAATATACCCTTATCACCTGCATATTAAGATTATGTCTCCCAGTTCATTCAACACGCTAGAGCATGCCTTACGTGAAGGTACGAACAATTTCAAAACCTACGCAAGCTATAATTGAAAAAGTAATGACAAACAAGTTGATGAAACAAGGATCAACAGTCTTGTATGAAGTAAACTTTTCACAAGTTCTGCGGCCGATACAATGACCTTGTTATCAAATACAATCTATCAGAAAATGCTGACTGACGTTTTTCATACTTATTATCGGGCCATTTTTTACACACTGAATTGTCTACGGATCTTCCCGTTTGCTCAGTCATGATAATGAGCACACGGCGGATGTGACCGGTCAATAGGGGATGCTTACTCCTCCATGCCACCTGATCCCACCTCCGATGCTTTTAGAGGTCAATGTTTGCTCTGCTCCCGATTTGTATTGTTTTAATGGACTTTTTAGCTTGATTACTTTTCCTTATTTCCATATTTCATATAGCTTCTTAATTATATCTCCAGTTAATTACTTGTAATTTTCTAGTATTGTGTATTTAGTTCATTGTATGCATCAGTTCGGGATATCCCTGTTAACTATAAATATGGTTATTTGTATATTTTCAGTGTGTAACTGTGAAGATGACCATGGAACAGAAAGAATATCAATCAAGGTTCTACAGTACTTGAAGCCTCTTAGACGAAGAAATAGGTCAAGAGGAGGAAGGACTAACCGAAGAAGTAGTAAGTATGCAGCCATCATTTTTAAAATTTGATTAAAGGGGCATGAACTGTGAAAGTGATGGCAACCAATTTTTTTCTTAAATATCTCAGTTGCATAAAAATATATTTTAGTGACCAGTAAAAACAATAAGATCATATAAAAAAAGAGAGACCTTTAAATATATACTAAGTCAATTATATGATTGCTTTTAGTTAAAAGAGATGTATAAGGAAAACTATTACCGTTCAAACCAATTATTATTTAGTATGTGTACATTCTTTGAAGCTAGGATAAAGTGTTTAAAATCATCAAATACTGTTGTCATTAAAGACATGTGTCAGATGGAGCATTTCATAGAATTAAATTTTTGTGAAAAAAAGCCTCTTTTCCCTTTAAATGTTGTAATAAGAAATGATGTGAAAGCATAAGAATATTATGAACAAGCCGAAAAGTTGATAGTAAATGGGTTCTATGGAACATAACAATTTTACATCATTTTATATTAAAGCTGTCCGTCAAAGGATACTTTGGACATCAATAGTTAATTGGACACCAAATACGTGGGTAGCCATTCCTGTCCAGCAGGCTGCTAATGATTGGATAGTAGCAAATAAACGGAACCACGGCTTTGAGGTGATGGTGATTGACCAGTATAATCTCCCTATAAACGCAACCAACGTGTTTTCAAGTATAGAGTGCAGACGTCCTGCAGGTAAAATGATACATACAATTATGTACAATATATTATGTGTAGTTATTTTTCCGCTTTATTTTGATAATATTAATAGCTAATGATAAAACTTGTACAAACATAATGATGCCCATCGAATCCATGAATCTCTACTATAACGTTTGATATGTACAATGTTTTGCATAATTGATGAATCCTTAACTGACAATTTTGTAGATGTTGACTGCATAGATACGATATTTAGGACGCCATTATACGGAGGCACTTCACCCTTTCTTCAAGTTTATAAAACAGAATCGCCATTTGTTAACCAAAGAGCAAAGCGTGAGGCAGGTAGGGAAAGGTATGAAGAGACACTTCAAGGAAGACCAGAGTCGACACAAAAGATAGCTAGGTACATACGTAAAATGTTTCACCAAAAAAGACTTTAAAAATATAAAAATACTTTATGCAACTCCGATAACACTGAATGATATTTTTGCTTGTCATAAAGAAAGTCAATTTGCTTTCGTGTTTGAGAATTTTTTTTTCCATCAGACTGGTGGATTTCTCTTTCACAAATTTTGATTTTTAAAAGTTGAAATAAGTGTAACGTCTTGTATTTATTTTAATTTTCAAAATAAAGATCAATAAACGACAGATTGTCAAAACTGACATATGGATTCGTGGAGATATATATATATATAGTTAAGTCTATATATAAGAACTTTCTTTGTGTAATAGAAAAAAAATTATACTGTATAAAATTTACAAATTTTCATGACTTAAGGAAAAAGTATAGGTTTGTGGGGATTTGATTTCGGGGATGAAGAATTGTTAAATAGTAATATATGTGAAAAATACATTTTGAATTGAACATAAATTCTAGGGTCTCCTTATACATCGAAAACAACGAAAATTAAACCTCCACGAAAATAAGTGATTTCACAGCAGTTTTAATTGTAGGATTAATCCATTTGTCACTTAAGACCATTCTCTTCATTTTTATATGACTTCAATTAGGAAATATATACTTAATTGATTTTCTCTTTTTATTTCAGTGTGCAATAAAGGAGAATTAATTGGGTTGCTTTTACACAAGTAAAAATATTATTAGGAGAAGAGACTTTATGAAAGGCCTATCGCTGCAATTCCTGATAAAAGGAGAAGAGGAAAAGCAACTTAAAGAAAAAATCCTTTATCAAATTACAAAACAAAATGGACATTAAGTGTCTAGCTTATCTTATTTATATTGATAAAAATGCTTAATATTTTAAATTAATTTTTACATGTATATCAATAATGCTAAAATAGGAGCTATCACCAACGTATACAACTTAATCAAAATGTTAATGGTTAGAAATTTTTTATCGGGTCCTTAATGATCCGTTTTTCCGGCAGCTAAATTTATGCCTATATATATATATATATATATATATATATATATATATATATATATATATATATATATATATATATATATATATATATATATAATAAAATATATTATTATGATATTTTAATTAGCGTAATGTCGAGGTAATCTAAAGAAATTCATAAAGCATGTTCAATCCATTAAGTAACCTCTGTGTTAGAACCTCAGAGTATTCGTGTATGTTTAAACTCTACCTCATGCTATCATTATGTAAATCGCAAAGGTGTATATATTTTGATGATCATTTTTATATTTCAAGATTATTGTAAAGAATTGAATAAAATTTGTGAAAAAAAGAGATATATTATTAAAAACAGCACTTGTATATTTTTCCTCCTTGCTTTCCATGTACTTTTTGTTTGTTTTGTTTATTGTTTAACGCCCCTCCTTAGAATTTTTCACTGATATGGAGATGCCACCACTTGCCGGTGGAGGGCTGCAAATATTTACCTATACTCGGCACTCACGGCCATTGAGCAGTGAGGGATCTTTTTTTTTGTGCCAGCACCTACTGCAACACGGGACCTCGGTTTATTCGGTCTCATCCGAAGGACCGGCCTCCACGTCCCGCAGTGGATTCGAACCTGCGTCGCAAGGATTAACTCCTTACATCGCGACTCGAGAGCATATTTTTTTTTTACATTGAACATTTGCCTAATCGACACATATATAATATACAGTTTTTCCCGGTACAGTGGAATTGACAAATGTTTTAGTGTCATGACATTTTCTTGCTCGAAAACTTATTTCCCGACGTGCACTGCGCACCATTTTTTGTCAGGATATTTAAATGTTGGTGAATACAATGATGGCCGAAGAGGATGCAACAGAAGCGGATCAAATAATATACAGCGATTAACTATCATAATTATTGCCTAGAATCTATTTATGTCACACAGAAAACACAAGGACAAACAACTAACAAATTACCTTCTTCCGAAAGTAATATCAAGTTCATATCTGTTCCTAATGGTGTGAACCTATAAGGATTTAGCATGTATTTTAAGGCATTGTTTTCCCCTTACCTGTCAAGTGACCTTAACGCAAAAATTAAAGAATTGAGAAAACTAGGGTCCCCAATCATGATATTGATTTATTTGATATTCTTTTTTTTATCAAATATCCTCAGTAAAGAGTATATTGTTTTTGCAAAAGATTTAAGATTTGAAAAGGATTTTTAAGTTCTGAAAAAGGAAACACATTTAAAATGCAAATATTTAAGTTTGGTATTTTACATTAAAATTTCGATTATTTCATTTATTGCATTGATATCAAAATAGAATTTACGAGCATGATTTTAAAATTGGTTTCAAGGAGCAGATAAATCGAATTTAAATATCTTATATTTTTCTGTTTTGTGGAGGCATGCTTGGAGATCGGAAACGATGACAGTCTAAACCAAACACTCGAACACACTTGATATACATGTTTCACGATTTTGTACAGAACAAAAGATTGTACAAATCATGAAAGCGTTTTCAGTTTTAAGTCTTTAACCTAAATCTGAGTGTCATAGTTTACCTGTTTCCTAACTACAAACGCTTCAATTTCGTATAAAGATTTAAGATTGTTACTAATTTGCAAACAAGTTCTATATGTCCCGTCCTTTGATTATTCTATATGTAACTCTACGATGATGTGATTTTTACAATTTTTAACTATATTGGAATTAGCAGAGGAAACTAGGGCATAAATGTATACAGTCAACAAATACTAAAGAATTCTTAGATAATTCTGTGACATACTGTTGTAAAATATTTATTAATCATATGCTGAAAAAGAAAATACATACATAACCGTTTGATAATCAGAACTGAATTTTATGCACATTTTATACGGGTAACTAGTAAATCTGAAATAGGAGACATGACCACACCACCGATGCAAGAACACTCGAAAATTTAGCTAATGTTTCATCAAGAATACAGAAGTTGGCAAAAAGATTTATTAGTTAGACCAAAGATAGGTAATCAAAAATGACAACTACCTAGTACTGGGTTTCTCTTAAAAGAGCATAGCGGAAGGGATGTCAAACTTATTAGGTACAACTAACATGAGTTTGTTTAATCAATAACTTAAAAAGTGGACCTGATGAAAACGATACTTTTGTGTGTATACCGGTTCAATGACCCAAAACATTCAGCTTCAGTTAATTATTTTATAGCTTGAATGTCAACACGTATATTATAAAATATTCTAAAAATAAAGCATCATATTAATTAAATCGGACGAACTATTATTAAAAAGACAAACAGAAAACATTGAATGATCAAGAACATGATAGCTATCCAAAATATAGACCGATTTGCTGCATTTGTTACGTCCATCCATGTGATAGTTTCCTCGTTTTCAGGTGTTCCTTGAGAACTGTTGTCCTCCATCACTTTATCATCTCTCCCTTTGACTTCTTCTTCTAGGGGACGTATTTTCCGCTGTGATCTCCTGCAGCTTTTGGGAGTAGTTATACGCACAAAAGCCTGCCAACCCCATGATACTGGCAGATCTTTTTGTTGCTTCTCGTACATCCAAAGAGTCAGTATCGTCATCCATACTACACAGCTGCTACTGCTCAGTTGAATAACAACATTGATGTTGAGCAGACTAACTGGAATAGTATTCGGTAATCGATCAGCAATCATATTCAGATACAAAATCAAAGCAAGAAGCATTGTGACTGCATAAGAAATTCGCTCTCCGGAAGATTCCGGAAGAAGAAACACAAAGAAATTCAAAAAGCACAGATACGCAAGTGGGAAAGCAAAGTTCATGAAGAGATACATTGGGTGCCTGGACATGGTAAAAGAAAGAACCATTCTTGAAACGCCATACAATATGTTTGTATCACACTTTACGTCTGTGATTTCCCATTCTTCGTTTTTTATTAAAACTTGTGGGACGTTTGACACGAGATTTTCCTCTGAATTTGGCCTCAAAACCACATTTTCGATGAGTTCATTACTTATAAAATGTATTTCACATCTTTGCACATCCATTGGATAATACAGGATATTGGCATCACACTTGGTTTCAGATAAACCCACAGTGCTTAAACGAATTGTTCCGTTAGGAGACAAAAACACTGTCTGATATTTGTCTTCACTGGTCTTTAAGACAGTTTCCTCAGTAACTGTATTGTAAATTGAAAGCTGTGGACTCCAAATCAATGATATCGGGATGGGTATATCAGAGGTTACCTCTTTTGAAAAATCTGCCTTTATCAATTCATCCGTCCACATCATGCTAACGATAATTAAGGATGAAAGCTTACCAGATCTGTCGTCATAAGAAACAACTGAATGAAGTCGAAGATCAATGAATATGGTTATGGGGAGGCTCTGGTTCCTTACGGGTCGAATATATGACATGTGGTCTTCCTTTAAAGATTTGTAAAATTCCCTCAAAATGTCAATATCTGACGATATTGAAGCTGGCACGCAGAGAAGCAATATAGAACACAATAAGAAAAACATTAAAGGACTTCTCGAACTGCTCATTTTAGTGTTATGGCTATCAATTGTTTGTTAGAATTCCAGCATTGTAACAAATTGTCAAATGTACTGATCAAAATTCGGTTTATATGTTTATCGCTAGTCACGTTGGCGTTTTTGAATTAAAAGAGATCTTTGAGCAGAAAAGGAAATCAATGCATTTTGAAAATGATGAAAGAGAAGAAGCTTGTCCATCGCTGAGGAGGACGGAAATACATTTGAAAAGTAAATATGAGGTACTTTCGTTTAAAACAAAATGTCGATCATCTTGTTTTGCACTCCTTAAACAAAAAGGTCATTGATCTAGAAAAAGTCTGGAAATGCTTTATACTAAAACAGGTTGGGTACAGAGAGGAGAAAACAAAGCAGTCGATGACTGGATTGTTAGCAAAACGGAAATTACAATAGTCATTCTTTTATGTTCGAAAGTAAATTAGAAGAGAGTCATATTCAGTTAATATTTCACACCAATTTTCAGATATACCAAATATTTGATTTTCAATTTTAAAAAGGCTTTATTTTAAAATACATTTTGATTTATATGAATAATATCATTTGAAACAAAGAACAATTATAGATAAGCTTAGATGATATTTGTCAAATCAAATCATCTCAGTATATATATGCTTGGTCTCAGACCAGAGTTCTCTAATTGCCAAATATGGAAACTTTTCGTGCAAAATTTTTTAATTTTTACATTTTTTTTTGTTCTTTTTTGTCAAAAAAAATGTAAAAACGTTACTAGTATTTCTAGTTACTATGAAGTACGAATAAATAAAATGAAAAATAAGAAAATCGAACATTCTATCTACCGGTAACAAAAATTTGCTTCTGTGTTTATTTTTTAAATGCGCTTCTGTTTGACTAGTATCTGGAGAGTGTGATCAACCAGGACCGACAAACACTTGTTTAACAGAAAAAAAAATCGCAGTCTTTTATTGTATGAGTACGTGATCACAGAAGTTTGACAAGGTCACGTGTAAAGTCAAATACGAAATTACGCATCACCTTTTAGAGATAATTATATACTTAAGATGTGCGAGTTTGTCCAGTTTGAAATTTTCTCCGGTAGAGTAGTAAGGTACAATTGCATTTTTAAAGGATGTCAACCAAAAACCCTTGTAGGCCTCTACTACTGCTATTTTCACTACTTTTTTGTGTGGCCTTTTCCATTTCGTCAGATATTGACACTTTAATGGAATTTTACAAATCCTTGAAGACAGACCCTTTGTCTCACATTCGACCTGTAAAGAACCAGAGTCTCCCCATCACTGTCCTTATGGATCTGATTCTCCACTCAGTCGTGTCTTACGACGAAAAGACTGGGACACTTTTATCCTTAATTATTGCAAACATGACTTGGACTGACGAATTGGTGAGAGAATATTTTTCAAAAGAGGTCGTTGATGAAGTTCCCATTCCCATGTCTTTGATTTGGAGTCCAGGTTTCTCTATTTACAATACAGTAACGGAGGACACAACCCTAAAAACTAGTGACAATCAATATCAGACAGTCATTTCATCTCCTGACGGCACAATGCGAAATTTGATTTTGGGTTTATCTACTACAAAGTGTGACGCAGATATGTTCTATTATCCAATGGATGTGCAAACATGCAAAATACATTTTGTGAGTGACGAACCATTGAACAAGGTGGTAATTCAACCAACATCAGACGCATACCTTGGAAGGTTAACTGCTCTGCACAAGAACGAAGAATGGGAAATAACACATGTGATGTGTGAAACAGACATGATTTCTACTTATTCCAAAATGATAATTTCTTTCAAAATGACCAGGAAGCCGATGTATCTTTTCATGAACTTTGTGGTCCCACTCATGTACCTGTGCTCATTGAATCTGTTTCTTCTTCCAGAATCTTCAGGAGAAAGGGTGTCATACGCAGTTACAATGCTTCTAGCTCTCATTTTGTATCTGAATATGATAGCTGATCGCTTACCAAATACTGTGCCTGTCAGTCTAATCAACATCAATATTGCCATTCAATTAAATACAAGTTGCTTTGTTGTGCTGATGACAATCTTGACTCTCAGGATGCATGAAAAGTCACAAAAAGATCAACCAGTACCATGGTTTTGGCAAGTGTTTGTGTCGATAACATCCACTAATTGCCTTCGAAAATCACGGAGTAAGGTACACACCATAGCTGTGAAGGAAGCAGAGGTAAAAGAAGAAAAGGAAGAAGAAAATGACGATGAGGGAGTGCAAGGATCGCCTGATAACAAGCCAACAGTCTCATGGATTGACGTATCCCGTTCAGCAAATAAGTTTCTTTTCTGGATGTTCTTTAGTTTGTTAAGTATTCAGTCTGTTGTATTTTTCGTTCTGATAATGTGTCGTCCTATGTAATTGTATTTCAAGTCAAGTTATGACGTTGTATGATCAGGTGTATACTCCGACACATGAATAACATTGAATCACAACTCCTAGTTATAATGAAGAACATTTTAAGCGTGTTAGCCCAGGAAACAGCTATTTTTCTAACTTGAAACATTGATCAACTGGTTATATGGAGATGGAACAGAAGCAGTCCTTTTCCGTATTTATACTTACTGCTAAAAGACACTTCCTTTTAGGATGCAATATCCAAAGCTTATTTAGACTCTCATAGTTTACTTTCTGTTCTTGAGATTTTTTTTGTTCGTTAAAAAAATGCAACTATGCTCTTGAACAGACCTTGTCATTGACTTTCTTCAAACATAAATTATTCAAACTTTTTTTTCTATATACTTATCAACTTTTATGTTCAAAAAGGAAAATTTAAAGTGTTACTATTTCAGAAATTCATTACTTGTTAGAAAAGTACTTTACTGCTTGATATATTTTTAATGAAGAAAGAAAAATACATTACCATGGTATTGAACTTGTAAAACATTTTGTATTACCTATTGTTTTTGTATTGAATTAGTGCAAAATGGACAAAGTACAATCTAACATGGCAACACCGTTTCTTGGGTATTAATATTTATACATATATATATAGCCATGATGGAACATCCAACTGAAGTAGAAGATACATGTACCTATTGATTATAATTTATATACAGCCATAATCGAAAGTCCAACTGAAATAAAAGACGCCTATTTTACATTGAAAAATGTAAAATTTCAATATAAACCTGTAAGGGTTGTGCAAAAAACTTTTTATGAATCACTGTTCATAAAAAGAAAAAATGCTGACGAAGATAATGGCGCATTAGATTGTGAAACATTTACAATTCAGTTAAATAAAATCTTTAATGTTTTGACTGATTCTAAATTACCTGCCCATTAAATGATGAATTGCACCAGTATCATGGTCCTATAGAACATTAACCAGTTTGAGGATTAAAGACTCAGCTAACTTTATATTTTAAATAATCAAAATATCGAATGTATCAGGTCATCTTCAAAAAAGATTTTTAAACAATTTCATTTCAATCTCAAGATTAACACCAAGGTCAGTACCTATGGTAGTGTTCAAAACACTTCATCCTGATGGCTTATGTGATACAATACAAGATTTGACCTTAACATGTCATCTTCAAAAGAGATAAAGATGTTTAAACTTTCTAGTAATGAGGTCAAAGTTCATAATCAAGGGTAAGGTAAAACCCAAAGGCAGTTTTTGAAGCATGTCGTTCTGATATACCTAATTATACTTGTTAGATTGATTTATTGTATGTTGTTTATTGTCCTAATCGAGATTTTTTCCTCTCATTTAGAGACGGCACTTGCCTTAGGCCACAGACTTTTACTTTTGCATGTCTCAGTAAGGGCTCTTCATCGTGCACGCGCCTACCACGGAACCTCGATTTTCAAGATCTCTTCTCAGTTATTGGAAAAAGACTTTGAAAATCGAGGTTCCGTCGCAATTGCAAAGACCCCTGACTTTCACTTCTAATGCTTTGGCAATAGCGAAGGAACAGTCACTTCCTATATTAAACGTCTTAGGTCTGACGCGACCCCGCAAACGAAAATCGGACGCGGACCTACTGATCACGAAGCAATCGCTGAATCATTAGCTAGCGCGACCAGCACTGTAGATCGTATGGATCAATGTTCGTGGGTAAGCAAAATTTTGATGGTTCATGGAGAAGTAATTTCGTGGATAACTGGTATATACAATAGATTCAATCAATAAATATCTTGACAAAATAATTGTTCAGGGGGATGTAAATTCGTGGATATAGGTGACCCACGAATGAACATTGATTGTTCCTCTGAATTTGATTCTGTTAGAAAGATATTCATATTGGGTCATCCTAAACAGAAATTTTCCATTTCCAGACTTCATGGTCAAAGTTCAAGGTTAAAGTTATCTCCCCTTGGTGACACTCAACAACAAAAACGTTTCATGTAAGAAGAAAATGTTCTGTATAGGTACGCTTTTCACTTACAAATGGCAAGTTCAATCCAATGGAATCATTTTAAAAAAACCTCTTTTACATGCATGTAAAGTTTTTAGATTTTACTTGAATACTGTGAAATCACATATTTTCGTGGGGTCAATTTTTCGAGGTTTGAAGAAAAATTATTGGTTCGGGGGTGGGTGGGGGGATTTCATGGTTTGGGACTTGTTGAGTAGTTATGTATATGAAAATTTCGTGGTGGACATGAATTCGTAGATCTCTTCATACCTCGAAAACAACGTGAATTGAACCCCCACGAAAATTATTGATTGCATAGTATGTCACCAACAATAAACTCAATACTAATTAGGTTATCAAGTAACAAGGTTCACTTAGGGCCTTTTTTGGCCCTGTGAATTTCAGAAAAACTAACACTGCTTGGTTTTAGTTAACAATGCAATAAATATCATTTAGACCTTTTATGACTGCGTATCTATCAAAAATGAAGTAATTTTCTGGCTAGTCAATGCATTGTGACGTCAAGAAATGCGTCATTTTCCTCATATCCTGAAAAATTCTACAAAACAGCTAATTTTTAAAACTTTTTCGATATTTAATATAGAGCGCAACCTCTGATCTAAAATATGCAACTATTAAATGATAGAACTATTTCTGAAGATTACAAAACATGTTTTATTTTTTAGATCAGAGAGTGCGCTCATATTATTCTCTTCTGTGAAAGTACTCAAATATACTTGTTTCCTTAAAATTCAAGAAAATTGCAATACAAATATTACAGTATAGACTTTAGAGGGTTTCATATTATGGGATTAACATATGCAGGCATCATTAAATTAAACCTATCTTGACTGATAACCATCACAGGAAAGACTAGGAACAATTATAGTGTGACTGTTATGCAAGTTTGTTTCATTCTTGTTTTGGTTTGCTTATATGAATAAAAATTTAACTTTCCTCTGTAGAGGTTAGACTACAATTGCTGTTGTCTGTAGTTGTGCTGACAAGGTTATCATTTGGTCCTGCTATATTGCTAAGAACACCTGATATACTCATCGAATCAGACATTTGTAATGTTCCTGAAATATTATTTTGCGTGTCACGGGGTGTGCTTTTTCTATAAAATCACTCTTTTTCTCAGAGAAAGAGAGAGAGAGAGAGAGAGAGAGAGAGAAAGAGAGGGGCATATAACTACATCACATATCATAAGCAAAAACATCTGACATTTGAAAGAGCTTATTATAATTTTGAAGGATATTTTGTTAGATTTCAAGCTTAAATGAAATAACTGTTACAACTGGAGCAAATTTAAAAAAAAAGAACAACAATAACAAATGAATAAACAAATAAATAAATTTAGATTAGCTTGCACTTGATAATCAAGTACATATGTACAATTTAAAAATCTATAGGCTAGCTGATAGATAATTTAACTTTTGGCACAGAATTGTAACGATATCTTGTGAACATATTCTACCTTTAATTCTAGGTACAAATTGTGAATTATGTATGCAACAAAGGCTTTCATATCACATTATTTTCACCAAATACACAAACTTCATCATAATCAAGTGGAAAAAATTCATTTTTCAACTTTTTAAGTACACATGTTAACACATCTATTTATCTTTAACAACTCTTATACCACTCTGTGCCATTAATGAAAATCAAAATGGTTATTGTAACTGAACAAACATTTTATAGCAGACAGTTTTTTTTCAAAAAGAAAATCCAACATTACATTGTACATAATAGAAGAATCTTTAGCCAGCCCACAAATGAACCTGCATGAGCAACTTCAGTGAGCTGAGCATTGCAATTTAGAGAAAAACACCGGTATCACATTCATATATATATTCATATATATATATGCAACTTATTAAACAGTTTTTGTGAAGACCTAGCTAATTCCCGTGTTTCAGTCATACATAACTCCTCATTCCAAGAAAGATAATGCCAAGATATACAGTGTCTGACATTCATTCATAAAAAAATTAATTTTATTGTCTCTGCCATATTATATATGAAAGAAACTTAATAAACACACTAGACAGAATGTAAATCCAAACAACCATTTTAACTACTAGTAATTTGACTAAAAAGCATACTATGCTGACAACCTTAATTAAGTTCCATTATACTAAGAGTCATGTTAGCCATAGATAGATGTACTGATTTTAAAGTCTTTGATTGACTGCTGGTTCATTTGATTTAAGCATTCTACGCATACACTACATGTACTTAACTTTAGTAACCACACATATCTAAATCAAAAGCTTCTTGATGAATACAAAAACTGCTAATATTAATGATCAATATTCATTTTTCATATCATTCAACTTGGACAACAATTTTTTTTCATCTTTTTTCAAGTAAGATCTGTTATTAAAAAAGAAAAAGGGGGAAAACCATCTGATGGTGCCAGAGGCAAGGCTAAAATGTATTACATTAATCGTAACTTCAACTTGACCTTTAACTTATCAAAATCTTACATCCATTCTTGAATAGTTCATACTAAACCAAGGCTTTTGTTAAGACAGAGATAATGCCCAAAACAAATAGATCTCCAATATTGTACATGTATTTTACATTGGAAACCTTAAAAACAATGCTTAAATCTTCATCTTACAGTTTTATATACTTATTGAAATGATATGTTCCTTTTTTGTGTCTGGAGAAGAATTGGCAATAATTTTTCATCAGTCTCTTTCTCATGTTTCTTCATCAGTATCAATCATTATGCAATGTGTAATTAAATACAAATATTACAGTATAGACTTTAGAGGGTTTCATATTATGGGATTAACATATGCAGGCATCATTAAATTAAACCTATCTTGACTGATAACCATCACAGGAAAGACTAGGAACAATTATAGTGTGACTGTTATGCAAGTTTGTTTCATTCTTGTTTTGGTTTGCTTATATGAATAAAAATTTAACTTTCTTCTGTAGAGGTTAGACTACAATTGCTGTTGTCTGTAGTTGTGCTGACAAGGTTATCATTTGGTCCTGCTATATTGCTAAGAACACCTGATATACTCATCGAATCAGACATTTGTAATGTTCCTGAAATATTATTTTGCGTGTCACGGGGTGTGCTTTGGTCATGAGTTTGACTTTGAGATGTTTCTTCAGTATCATAATGAAGTCGATTTATTAAGGAGTTTACACAGTTTTGGTCTCCACCAAAGACCTGATCAGGCATACTGTTCTGAATATCTCTATAACTCTGTGTACTTGGCTGATTTGCCATATCATTCTGCAATTCCCTGGCTTCCATCTCCAAGTTCTTTGCTCCTGATTCATCAGTGGGTTGGACTGGAACTGTAGTGGAATTAACTATCTGACTTCCTGTCTGTTCTTCTCCTTGTCCTCCAGACCCGGATTCTACAGGACAGGATTGGAACAGGTCAGACCCAGAGCTGACGGTTGAGTCCGGGGCAGCTATGGGATTCCCTTCCTCTGTAGAGCCAGCTGTCAGCACCGGAATATTTATAGAATTTCCTGAAGGTCTTGTTATATTTGATGCATTTTCTTGACTTACTTCCTCTAGTTTCTCCCTTAACTCCTTTGCATCTTTGCTTGACCCATCCTGATATGAATCAGATTGTTCATTTTGAACTATGGGTCCACTTGACTGGACTGGAATGTTCATAGAAATTTCTTGAGGCCTTGGTATATCTGATGTACTTTCAAAAGTTTCGTTGTCTAGTGCTTTTCTAAAATCTTTTACTGCTTTTGTAATACTTGACCCCTCCTGATTTGAATCAGATTGTTCAACATGAACAATAGGTCCCCTCTCCTGTATGTTACTAGGATGAAATGTGCCAGCTAAACTCGTCTGCTTTGCATTTTCTTCTGGTCTTGACAATACTGACCCAACATCAAGATTTGGAGCTCCATCATCTAAGCCACGAGTAGTCTCCATCTCTGTTCTATGTCCCGTCACATCTTTTGTACTTTGAATTTTTTTATATAAATCTTCTGGATGATTTAAATTATCATCTAGAAAACTAGACTTTGGTGATGTATGATGGAAGGCTTCAATTTCACAACTGGTAGGTCCAGTCCTGATGGTACTCTCAGTTGATTTTCCTTTACTTTCATCTTCTCTTATTCCACTACCTTTCCTTTCATTTTCTCTTTGAATTTCTTGCTGACTTCTTTTAATGACAGGACTGATATTACTACTCTCTGACTGTACTGATATTGTTACAGATGGAGGCAGTTGATTGTCTTTCTGGCCAGGTATTTCTTGGTCACAAGATGTGAAATCACCTGTTAAAGTGATTCCCGCTGTAGATGACTTCTCTGATTCTCCTGGAATATTTTTTCCTAGAAATTTGTCAGATTTGGATGAAGAGGCTATTTTGGATTGGCTATCAGAGCTAAATTCTTGGGAAAAACTATTGTTCTGTGATCGAGTATATAACAGAGTGTTTTCGTTATTTTGCAAGTTGCTTGTAGAATCATTTCTTGGTGGATATTCTGTATTGTCCTGACCTCTTTCTTGCTGACAGGATATGTTGTCAAGGTTGTTATAATCACCTACAAAATATGTTTCATTTGCTTTCCTATTGAAAGGAATAAAAAAAACAACAAATCTGAGGAAAGTATGGTGTAAGACATGTTAATATCAGAATGCATATCTCAAACAAAAGGCCCATGGGCCATAATGCTCACCTGAGTCACTATTGTCCATATCAGTTCTTCATGATCATCAGCATTTCCCTTCTCCCTTTCCCATTTCCCTTTGTAAAATTTTAATCGCTCTCTATACCACCCAGGGCTCATGATTTTGAGCGAACTTGAATCTACACTATCTGAAAATTTCCATATCAATATGACTAATCATATCATGGCTTTACCATTCTTGAGAGAAAGATTTTTCCTATATATTATCACCCGTTGTGGCTCCTTTCTCTCCCCTTCTACCATCATCAGAACAAACTTGAATTTACACTTCCATACAAATATAACCAATCATAGCCATGCTGTTCAGAGAAAGAAGAAGAATGATTTAAAGATTTTTCATATAAAACTTTGATCCCCCATTGCAGTCCCACCCTATCCCTGGGGGTCAATATTTGAATCAACTTGAATCTACACAATCTGAGGATGCTTCCATACCAATATGACTACTCATGACTTTTCTGTTCTTGAGAAGAAGATTTTCAAAGATTTTTCCTCAATATTCCTATGTAAAATTTTGATCACCAGTTGTGGCTCCTCCCTTTCCATCATGATTCAGGAGTCATGATTTGAACAAACTTGAATCTACACTTCCTACAGATGTTTCCACATCAATATGACTAATCATGGTTTTGCTGTTCCTGGAAGAACATTTTTAAAAAAAATCCTGTATTTTCCTTCGTAAAACTTGGATCCCCAATTGTGGCTCCAGCCTATCCCCAGGGGTCATGATTTTAACAAATTTGAATCTACACTACCTGAGGATGCTTCTATATAAATATGACTATTCGTGGCTTTGCTGTTCTTGAGAAGATTTTTAAATGACATCACCCAATTTTCACTATTTCTTAATTATTTATTTATTTTATCTCCCCTTAGAAGAGGGCAGGGCCCTTCATTTGAACAAATTTCAATTACATTCACCCAGGATTCTCTGTGCCAGGTTTGGTTGAAATTGGTCCAGTGGTTCTGGAGAAGAAGATGAAAATATGAAAAGTTTATTACAACAACGCCAACAACGAAAAACAACGACAGACAGCAGATAAATTTTGATCAGAAAAACTCACTTGAGCCTTTGGTTCAGGTGAGCTAAAAATGCCAGCTCAAACAATGAATTAATTGATCCACTTTTCATATATACATGTACTTTTCATTACCTACATCCCTTCTGATTTGCTGAAGTAGATCTGAGAACATACGCTCTCCTTGTAAAAGTTGCATTAAATCCCTAACCCGGAATCCAGGATTTATTTCTGCAATTAGGTCAAGGACAGCCTCACCTGGGTTTGATTCTGCTTCTGTAAATACAGAGTGAAAATATTAACCTTAATTGCCTCAGTAAGCGTTCAGGCCACTTACAAATTTGGAAATTGAGGGTAATTATCTTTAATAATTCCGTTTTCATGTCAGATCTAAACATGGCTTACAAAGTACATTTGAACAGTCAGGGGGTGAGACTGAAATTCATCATTTTTAAAAATGAAGATTTCTAGTCATAAAGTTGATTTTTAGTACTGACTAAAATTCATCATTTTTTAGAATAATGATGAAAATCAGTCATACCTATTTGGAGTTTATTTTTAAATATAGAGTTACCTGAAAATAAATATGACCTTTTTTCATCATTTTTTATCAAATTGGTAGGTCTGGGCACACTTAATTATCTCATTAGTTTTACAGCGTGCACTTATTTATTTTGGTTTCAATTATTTGTCAAGTTGAATCTCTACACATGGGTCCATGGCAGGATAGTGTACTATATTGTTATTGTATCAAATGGGTTGGAAGAATTAACTTAGGAATGGAAATATGATGAAAGCAAGTCATATTTACAAAACTTATAAAAATAGATACATTATGTAGTTAGCAGAAATGACAATTATCAATCATTTTTCAATATGATGGATTTCAGTCTCACCCTTGACTGTTGAAGACATTGAGGTTTTTATACAAATAGGTTTTTATTTCTCAGTAAAGACTGTTACCATGGATACTGGTTATAAAAACTAGTTAATACAACGTATTAATTAGATTTTCAAAATCAGTTGAAATGGCACTTTTTTTAGTTTGAAAATGACAAGAGAGAGTGCTTTAAATTAGGGACAACAATTAATACTTATGGGACAGTCACAGATACATGTATCATGCATTGTTTAGAACTCTTAAAGCAAAATTGCATTACATGTATTTATCTTGGAAATCTTATTTTACAAAAGGAAATCAACATTGTTAATTTGTTCAGTGAATACTAGTAATGGTATGAGTTTATAGACATTGATTCAGAAGTATTATGCAATGTATGTCTATGTGTTACAAAAGGAAATCAACATGGTGGTGTTCTATATCTTTTTTATCAAAACAAATGTATCTGACCACTAGTTGACCATTAGTTGAATTTCATTTATTTGTCATACATGTACAATTTCAAGAAATTAATTAAAATCCTGGGTTCTGAATTTGTGCACAGCTTTTTCATGACATATTAAACAAGCTCACAGGCCAAAACACTCGTCTCAGTCACCTTGTTTGTTCTTCCTCAGATTCTTCCCCCTCTTTATTCCCATGAAAAATTTTGACCCCATATTGTGACCCCCCCCCCCCCCCAACCCAAGGGGTATTAACTGAAACAAACTTGATTCAAGACATGATGCTTCAGTATCAATATCACTAACATTGTAGTAAAATGGCCTTGCTGTTCCAGAGAAGAATTTTTTTAAGGATAGTTTTCCTGTATTCATTAACTATGCTAATTAAAATTTGATCTTGAGAAGAATTTAGAACATTTTTTTTAATATCTTCCAAAATAAAATTCTTACCCCTACTTATATCCCCTACCCCCAGGGTCCTGATTAAAAATAACTTGAATCTGAACTGCCTTTGGATTAACTTGCATAACAAGAGGCCCAAGGGCCTTGAATCGCTCTTCTGATAAACTGTACAACCTACCACTTCTATTTGAAGCCTCTAAGTATCCTGTATATTTAGATAAAACCTTGAAATTCCAATTCACACTCTGAGAACCCAAGATGATTCTAAGCAAATTAGTACCTGAGAGTTGGTCATGGTGACCTACTTATCACTTGTCATTCTCTGAGGACCCATCAACTAAGTTTGATGATTTTAAGCCAATTAATACCTAAAATATTATTTAAAATTATAACCATAAAATTTTATAAGTAGGTCAAAGTGACCTACTCTTCAGTTGTTGTACTCCAAGGACCCAAGATGCATCAACTGACAAAGTTTGATGATTCTAAGCCAATTAGAACCTGATATATTTAATTAAAGCCATGAATTTTCAAAAGTAGGTCATGATGACCTACTTTTCAGTTGTTGTGCTCCAAGGACCCAAGATACATCGACTGACAAAGTTTGATGATTCTAAGCCAATTAGTACCAAAAATATTTAATTAAAGCCATAAATTTTCAAAAGTAAGTCACGATGACCTACTTTTCAGTCAACCTACTTCGAAGACCAAAGATGCATCGACTGACAAATTTTGATGATTCTAAGTCAGTTAGTACCTGAAATATTTAATCAAAGCCATAAATTTTCAAAAGTAGGTCACGATGACCTACTTTTCAGTCGACCTACTCCGAAGACCCAGGATGCATCAACTGCATGTTACTATGACTAATCATGACCCTGCGTTCTAAGAAAGAGGATTTGTTTAAAAACATTTTTTTCCTATACATTCCCATGCAGAACCACACAAATTAAAAAGAATCTATGTGTGCTAAAAGATGTCAACAAATTATGATTAAAATTTTTGAAAATTTCACTTACGTAGCTCTTTAATTTTTTGCCTTGTAAGACGAAATTTCTGACCCAATTTTCTCCAGAGTTGACCTCTATTGAGTTCAGAAGCCCAACAATCATAAATGGAATCTAGCACCTGTCTCAGCTCTGTCTCTGAAAACAATTGTGATGATCATATAAAATTTCATAGAAATCATCTTCTATAGCTATAGCTACTAACATGATTAAAGAAAGTTTATATTCAAAGTTTCATCAGGAGAAAATGCAGTATATTGGGCTACAGTGATATTTTTTTTAAAATCATAGTTGTGATTCAGATAGCCTGGATATATGGACTGGTGAAGGCATCATTCCAAATATTACACTTAATTATTGGATCTCAATGGACTGATTAATTCTGTCATAATTATTAATAATATATTCAGAATTTCTGAATATAATACTAAACAATTTGTACCTTCTGTTAATGGCTCAGGAGTAGTAGGTTTTGCTGTGTATTCACTATTACGAGTCTGTACAGATGAATATGAATCTTCTTGTACAACAACTCTTGGCGCTGGCGGTGGTTCTACTCTGAGTGCAGATTGATTTCTTGTGCCTGTCAGTGCAGCATTAATATATGGTCTTGGCAACCACTCAGGTTGAATACCACCTATCTCAATTATTTCATTAGCTAAATCTTTGTATTCATGTTCTCGTAAAGCGACGAGAAAACTGTAAAAACATTTGCGGTCCCTTCTTCTGAGTGCATCATACAATCTATCAATAGCTGTCATCTTATTTGTATTGTGCGCAGCTCTTATGCTCTCGATGTCATTATCATTTAGTCCTCTTATATAGGGTATCAATTCTAGTGGTTCTACTAGTCTTTCTCGTAATAAAGGCCATATTTCCCTTAGTAACCTAAAATGATCCATTCTCCTTCCAGATCTTCTGTCTGTGAAATCCGGATCCTACTTTCGTTTTTCCGCCAGTCAAACTCGGCAGGCGTTAAATGTAGTATTGCTGACTCCCGATTCTCTTGGATATATTTTTTTCGTTGATATTCTCCACATCGCTTAACAAATTCGGTTCAAACTTTTCAGGCACATTAACTATGCTGAATTAAATTCACAAAAATAAAAAAAAATATCAAAAAGTTTACGAATGGTGGCGTTTATGGACTAAATTGAACAGGTATCCTTTTTTTGGTTTCTACTTTTATAACTTAGAAGTAGTTTTATAGATGATGGATAGATGATTTATATATGATTATTGTATTTAAATGAAGAAAATGTGTCTGGCAAATATGAAGCGAATCTATACAACCAACAGAGTCGGGAGTCAAAAGTACTAGCTAGTGTTATCGCTAGCCGATGAACTCTTTTGTAGTGAAGGAGCAATTAGTGTACATAGAGGGGTGGATCAAACATGGAATTACCTCAGTCAACCCTAGATGCTTTAACTTTAGCTGGAGACTCCGTTCATGTACCTGATGCACTATTTCCCAATTTTCTGGAGGTAGCTTTTAGAGGTGTCATCAATTCTAGCGACAGAAATGCCATAGAAGGTATCCATATATATATATTTTTTTTCTTTTTTGCAATGCATGGAATACCAGGTTTTTAGTCACATGATTTCCATTTGAAGTTTATCAGGTCCAGTACAATCAGTACATTTAGCTACGTAGCTAAAATTACCTACCGTAGCTTTGTTTACCTACCTCAGGGAGCTTTATTTAGCTATTTCAAGGCAACTTTTCACAATTTTGCTTTTTATCTTAAAAAGACAAAAAGTCGCAAGAAAATGTCTACTAATATTTATTCTAGGTATCATTTACAAAGCAATCTAAAGCAGAGATAGTTTTAACATTGCTGCGTTTGATCACATTTAAGGAAAATATGTATTCCCATTGTTTGAGTAACTGTACACACCTTGTGCGAGATGAGGCATGGATAAGTATGATTACTTCACATTGTGCTCATGTTAACCAAAACTGGTTTTCTTTGTTATTACACTCAAGAAGTAACTGTTAGGTCACAAATTAACTGTTGTATATAGCCCCATAACTTTTAGAACTTTGATTGCAATTGCGCAAAAAAAGACACATCTCCAAGAGTGATTTTTTCATGAATTGTTTTCAGATGAGTTCAAAGTTGAAAATTATCACTGCATCAAAGTGCAATTTTCTGCACTTTCTGGGAAAAATTCATATTTAAGAAATAAGTTTGATTTAGTAGCTAAATAAAGCTACTTCAAGTAGGTAAATAAAGCTATGTAGGTAATTCAAGCTACGTAGCTAAATCTAGTGATTGTACCAGACCTGTTTATTGCATATCTATCATCTATGCATGTCATTTTTATACTTGCACTAACTATAAATTTAAATTAATTTCCAGTGACTTATTGTGTAGGCCAACAACAAGATTTGTATTTTTTTCAAATTTTATTAAATCCTTAGTCAGTTAGAATCTAGTGATCAGGTGATCTTTTTCATTCCACTGTCACATACCACTACCAACAATGATTATATTCTGTATAGTATGATAATTATAAAGTCAATCACCACAGACTAAGCATATATATGTATATTCTAAGGGTTTGATGTATAAATAAAATATATATAAAATGTTCATTCTGAACCCTATATAGATTGATAGATTTACAATTAAGTGCTTGTAGAAATATAAGATTTATGTATCTGCAAGCACATGTACAGTTATAATCCTAATTATTTATGTCTCTTGCATTAATTCTCTTATTCTATTATAATTCTATTATAGTCTCTTCAATAAAAGATATTAAATTATCATGCTTTAACCTGTGAAAAATAAAATTGAAAAGTGTATTACCATCTAATTAAGGTCTTCCGTCTTCAACGGAAGACCTTATTGTTTTCGTTCGGTTTCTTTTTCCCTATTATTAGGGTCTTCCGTCTCCAACGGAAGACCCTTCTATTATTGTATTGTTTCTTTTTCACTTTTATTATTATTATTATTATTCCACTTTTTCTTTACAATTTTTGTGCAGAAGATATCTCGCAAACGGTTCGATCGATTTTCATGAAATTTTCAGGGGTAATGCCTTTTGATCTGAAGATGATCCTTTTTTGTTCAAATCCTTAGAATTCACTTTCGGTCGGAAGTTATCGCCCTTTAATCGATTTTCAGATAACCATTTTGTCGACACAAAATCTAAAAAACGGCAAAAGCTAGAACGCTGAAATTTTCAGCGATTATAGACGACATGTTGAAGTTTTGCACCTGGGTTTTCAAATTTTCCGGAAGTACCTAGTATGGAAGCTCGGTAGGGGTCAAAATTTAGGACATGAATCAGGAGTGAATTTTCGAGACATTTTTTATCATATCTCTAAAACTGTGGAGATTTTCTAAAAACATATTGAATAGAAATTGTGTAGAATTACAAGATCTTTTATATGATATCAAAGAAAAAGGGCTGACTCATCATATTAGGGGCCGAGAGGGGCCAAAAGTCTTTAGTCAATAGCTCTTTAACAATCAAAATTTTGTAATGCATTACTGAAGCAAAAATGTTTATCTCAACAATTTACAACTATATATTATAATATTTACATCATATGTTACATAATTAGGGGCCGTTAAGGGCCAGAATGTAAAATCTTTGACGCTTTTTATTTCAAAAGTGGGAAATATTTTGATAAGCAATATTGAACAAAAGATGTTCAAAATAATGTTCTTAAGAATATGCAACCTTTCATTTTTCTCTAAACGTCCCCATTAAGGAGTTAAAGGGCCGGCCCCTAAATACTTCTTTTGCAAATATCTCGGAAACGAAAAAGAATTTCTGACTAGTTGTTGAACAAAAAGTGTTCAAAATCATAAGAGCTTTAAAGTGGTATGAAGAAAAAGGGGCTGGCCCCTCAAAAAAAGGGCCGAGAGGGACTGAAAATCTGTAATCAATAACTCATTGACAATCAATATTTTGTAATGCATTACTGAAGCAAAAATGTTAATATTAACGATTTACAACTACATATTATGATATTCACATTATATGTTACATAATTAGGGGTCATAAGGGGCCAAAATGCAAAATCTTTAACGCTATATATCTCAAAAGTGTGAAATATTTTGATATGCAATACTGAACAAAAGAAGTTCAAAATAATGTTCTGAACAATATGCAAATTTTTATTTTTTGCTTAACGTCCCCAATAAGGAGTTAAAGGGCCGGCCCCTAAATGCTTCTTTTGCAAATATCTCGGAAACGAAAAAGAATTTCTGAATAGTTGTTGAACAAAAAATGTTCAAAATCATAAGAGCTTTAAAGTGATATGAAGAAAAAGGGGCTGGCCGCTCAAAATAGGGGCTGAGAGAGGCCGATAATCTTTGATGAATAAATCTTTAATGCTCAATATTTTGAAATTCATTACTGAAGCAAACATGTTTATCTCAACAATTTACAACTATATATTATAATATTCACATCATATGTTACATAATTAGGGGCCATAAGGGGCCAGAATGACAAATCTTTGGCACTCTATATCCCGAAATTGGGAAATATTTTGATAAGCAGTGTTGAATAAAATATGTTCAAAATAAGGTTTTAAACTATATGTAACCTTTTCATTTTTGCTAAACACCCCCATTTAGGAGTTGAAGGGCCAGCCCCTAAATATTTCTTTTGCATATATCTCGGAAGCGAAAAAGAATTTCAGAATTGTTGATGAACAAAAATGTTCAAAATCACAAGAGCTATAAGAAGATACCAAAAAAAAAAAAAAAAAAAAAGGACTTGTCCCTCAAAATAGGGGCCAGGACGGGCCGAAAGTCTTTAATCTATAACTTTTTAATGATCAATATTTTAATACACACTACTGATGCGAAATTTTCGTCTTAATAATTTATTTTTATCATTTTATTTGAACAAAAATCTCAGTCAAATTCTGATCTCATCTTATCAAAAATCGGACGGAAGACCCACTCGTTGCTTGCAACGAGATCTCATCTAGTTATTATTATTATTATTATTATTATTCTTTTTTTTTCTTACCGATTTTGTGCAAGCGAGTTCTCGGAAACGGCTCGGTCGATTTTCACGAAACTTTCAGATCTAATAGATATTGATCTGAACCTTATTGGAAATTTTTTATTTTGATGACGTCACTTCCGGTCGTGAGATATGGACGATTTTCCGATTTTCAGAGGGTCGGCTTGTCCTGGCAATCACTCCTAAACGAATAGAGATATTGAGTTGAGATTCACAGTGAAAGTAGAGGAAGGATTGTAGATGTGCTTTTTTGGGTCTATATCTTCCAAGCATAAAAGGCGCCGAAGCTCGCCAGGGCTCGATAAATAGGATCATAACAATCTCGCAAAATTTAGCACTTTTTCTTTCATGTCTTAATACCTGTAAATATTTTGTTAAAACATATATAACAAAAGTTGTGCACAATGATAAGAGCTTTCATTTAATATAAAGAAAAAGGGGCTGATCCTTCAAATTAGGGGCTAAGAGGGGCCAAAAGTCTTTCATCTATAACTCTTTAATGGCCAATATTTTGTTATCAATTACTGAAGCAAAAATGTTTATCTTAACAATTTGCAACTATATATTATAAAATTTTGATTCTATATTGCGTAATAAGGGACCAAAAGGGGCCAGAATGCTAAATCTTTGACGCTTTATATCTCGAAAAGGGGGAATCTTTTCATAAGCAATACTGAACAAAAGATGGTTAGAATAATGTTCTAAACAATATGAACCCTTTCAATTTTTAACAAACGGCCCCATTAAGGACTAGGTGGCCCCTAAATATTTCCATTCAGCATATCTCCTCAAGGAAAAGAAATCTCTGAATAGTTGTTGAACAAAAAGTTTTCAAAATCACAAGACCTTTCATTTGATATCCAGAAAAAGGGGCTGAGCCCTCAAATTAGGGGCTAAGAAGGGCCAAAAGTCTTTCATCTTTAACTCTTTAACGATCAATAATTTGTGATGCATTACTGAAGCAAAGATGTTTATCTTAACGATTTACAACAGAATATGATAAGATTCTGATCATATGTTACGTAATAAGGGGTCACAAGGGGCCAGAATGCTAAATCTTTGACGCTTTATATCTCGAAAAGGGAGAATATTTTGATTAGCAATCCTAAACAAAAGATGGTCAGAATAATGTTCTTAACAATATGCACCCTTTCAATTTTTGTCAAACGGCCCCATTAAGGACTTGGAGGGGTTGCCCCTAAATATTTTCATTCAGCATCTCTCCACAACGAAAAGAAATCTCTGAATAGTTGTTGAACAAAAAGTCTTCAAAATCACAAGACCTTTCATTTGATATCAAGAAAAAGGGGCTGACCCCTCAAATTAGGGGCTCAGAGGGGCCAGAAGCCTGTCATCTATAGCTCTTTGATAATGTTATATAAATCAAAAGAATGTAATCTAATTAGGGAAGTCTATATATTATTATCTTTTAACAAAGATCATAGTCAAAATCATATCTCATCTTATCAAAAAATCAGACGGAAGACCTACTCGTTGCTCGCAACGAGATCTCATCTAGTTAGGGTCTTCCGTCTC